ATAGGGATAGCATTAAAAGAATGTGGAGAAGTAAGGAGGGCAAGCAAAGTTTGGAGAGCTGGGAGAACAATTGGGAATACAGAGAGGAGGAGCCAGTTTGATAAGGATGGTTGTACAGTGAAACAATTAGGATTAGATTTGACTGAATATACCAGAAAACCCAGGACTCCTAATGGTAGCTCTAAGAAGTCATCAGGGATCCAGGTGTCTGTCTGTTCTGCCATCCTCAGCATATGACTTCCATCATCAAAGTTACTTCAAAGCCCAAAATAGCTGCTGGAGCTCCAAAAATCTGGACTGTATTCCAGACAGCTGGAAGGAGGAACAAGAGGGGAGAGCAAAATAGTGTAGCTGCCAGCTGAGTCCATTTCCTTTAACAGACTTTCTAAAGGTCTTATACAGTACTTCTTATAAATCAGAAAGCCATCATGTGGACTCACCTAAGCATAAGGGAGACTGGAGAATAAGAGTATTTTATCTAGGTTCATTGCTGTTTGTGACAAAATGGGAGTTCTCTTATTAAGGAAGAAGGTGAGAATGCTGGAGAGGTGTGTGTTGAAGCCTTTGGAATGGATGTCATTATCCAGGTAAAGGATGTAAAGTAAAAAAAGAGAAGGGCCAAGAATCATGGGATCACTCCAAGTTGTATGGGCTAGTAGAGGAATACTAGCCAGAAAAAACAAGTAAAAACAAGAAAGGGAAGCACAAAGAATAAACTGTTTTAATACTGTTTAGTTACTTAGGCATACAAAATAATGTAGAGATTTGTAGAGATTAATCAGTAACATTCCTCTTCCTTATCTGAGTTCTAAACCAATTAAGAGAGCATTGGCATCAGTAGATACTGGCTATGGTGATGAAGAAAAATGTTTCTCCTTGAGGGCCCAAATGAAAACAAAGACCATGAATTTATAAAAGCAGAAGGGAGGAGGTAGATAGCTGGACTCATCCAGGGCTTAGGTTTTGTAGGAGGTGTTAATGGAAGCAAAAGGGTTAATGCCATGCCTGGTCTTGGCTTAAAAACCTTTGGAGGCTCTACAACAACTACAAAATAGAATCCAAACGTGCCTAGACATTCAGACCCTCCTTTGAGGGTGTGAATTCAAGCCTACTTTATTGCCTTCCCTTCATCTCTCTTACCTCCTCCCTGCACTGACCCTATTTATACCACCTTTATGTCATCCTAGTTCCCTCATATTTCGGTAAACTATTAGATTTCCAACTTCTAAGCTTTGGCCTCCTCCTAGAATGCTGTTCTAATCATCAAAGGCCAATGAAAAATTGCTTTTGCCCCAAGAAGCTTCCAGCCTTCTCCAGTCAGAATTAACCCTTCAGGTCCTGTTGAACTAGAATTGGCCATCTATGCTCTTTCTCAATCGTCTCCCCTTCCTTGGAGAGGTTGCCTCACTCACTAACAGCCACAAGAGGCAAGCTCTTTGGGCACACATGATTAGATTAGTTGAGTCGGTCCTGGGTTTCTCTCCCAGCACTTGCAATTGAAATAGTAGGTCACATTAGGCCCCAGAAACATGGGACTCGAGATTTGGGTGCAGAGCTGATGCCTTCCAAAGCCGCCTGCATGCTGAGGTTACAGGGGGATAGGAACCAAGAGTCTTATGGAGGAAAATGGCAGTTTGGCAGAGAGAGGTAGTAACAGGATACTGGGTGGGAGCAGGGCCAGAGGGAATGAGAAACAGTCCCCCCAGTTACAGGTTTCTGAAAGTTCCGCAGCTGAATGTTAGCTGAGTTCCTGGAGATAGCCCAGTGTCCTTAACATGAGTCCAATTTCAGTTAAATTCACTTGAAGCAGTTTCTGTTCCTTGCAATCAACTGTCCCTGCCCCCAAACAGGCTCTGTTCCCACAGTACATCAGGTATTATCTTAACATCAATCACGTAGGTATGTGTCTGTCTCCACCTGTGCCTGGCACTCCTGAGGGCAGGAACTGTGCTATTCATTCAGTATCTCTGGAGCCTGGCACACACTGGATGCTCAAAACTAGTTGCTGGACCTGAATTCTGACAATTCACAAAAAAGGCAATCATTCTAAACTTCTCCCTACTTTTCCCCATATTTTGTGATATTTGCATCATTGCATATAATTTTTACCAAATTTGTTTCATGGTACTCACAAACTCTCCAAATTCACATGGCTTTTGGCTTTCTCATCTTATCTGGTGATCACCAAGAAAGATTCAGACTTTAACTGCAGAAGTGATCCATGCCTCTCTCTGGTTGGTGAGAATGCTAGTCTTACATGCACCCCATCTTCCAGTAGTTAACTGTCTTTTCCTTTGAAATGGGTACTTCCCATGAAGACTGTTGGGGCAGCTTAATTTTGATGATGTCACTTAAAACTCATTAAGAGGTCAACAGGCAGGCTAAGTACAACTTCTTCCTTCTGAAACCTTGCAAAATCATGGATTTTCATAGTTGGGGTCAAAGGTTCACAGACTTTTGAGTTTCTATGAAGCAGCACTAATAATTTTTTAAAGGTTGCTAAATTTATATTCCTCCAGGAAATGCCATTAAAAACGACAAGCTTCTATTAACACAGAATCACCCCCTGCAGTGCACAGCCTCCCCCCACCCCCCACCCCCATATCAAGGAATTTTCCAACTCCAAGTGGCTATAGTGCTGAGGAAGAAGCCTGGGTTAGCTCAGTGACCCAGAGAAAGGCAGAAGAAGCAAATCCCCCCAGGCCCAGGGATATTTGCAGGTTGAAACTCAGAGTGAATTGGCCAAGGGGGCTGTGATGGGGTCAGCCAGCTGGGGGCTGGAATGGCTACCCCAGGCCTGGGCAAGGTGGAGGGACAGAACTAACACGAACATTTTGGTTTTTAAATGGGATAAGGCACCCAAAATGCTTAACACTATGCCTGGCACATAATCAATTCTCTCTAAATATTATTGTTATTATTGTAAGTGTTCAATAAATGTTAGCCATTTTTAACATAAGGGAAAATATTTTTATCTTCCCAAAAAGGTGTGCCGGTCATCTTTCATGGATTTGGGGTGTGTGGCTGAAAGGATGGGCTTTTCTAGGGAACCGAAGGACTGTATAATGAATTGAGAAGATTTGCGATGCCTAGAGTGATCTGAGGAGTAGGGAAAAGGCATGAGGACAGCCCCAGAGGGAGGGGGCCTCAAGGTGGAGCATGACACTGAGGACTCACTCCCCTAAAGATCACTCTTCCTTGTGGGGAGGAGAGTTGGTTGAACATTATTTTAAGAGAAAGGATGGGTCAATATACAGTTTGAGGAATTGTACTAGTAATGTGAGGAACTATTCCTTTGCTGCACCTCACTTCCAGCTTCTGTGACATATACTATAATGGTGCATGCGAGTTATGTAAAGGTTTTTGGGGAAAATTCAGAGAGGCTCTCCATTTCCCATTTGGGTTGAAATAGTGTGGAACTGAGCCCCAGAAGCAGAGGCCAGGAGCCAGAGGGGATCACAAGAAAAATTTCCAGGATTGCCAGAAATCCTGGCTGGGCTTTGGTCTTCCACAGGATGTAGAATATGGGATTTGAGCCTGGTTCCTCAGTAGGCATCTGTCTAACGTTTTCATAAGACAGGTCCATTCTGGTCTGGGCATGAGTAAGTAAGATCAGATAGACCTGGTTGCAAAGTTCTGCACCTGCTCCAGGAGGGTCAGAATGGGGCCGAACTGTTTTTGTTCTAGAATCACCCAGATTCAAGACAATCATTGGTTTGCAGGTCTTTCAGGGCTAAAGACGAGCCCTGCCTTGGTCCCTTAGGGCCAGCCAGAATCAGCCTGACTTTGACTTGGGGAATATGTGACCTCTGTAATGCTGGGGACAGAACTGTTGTGGTGTCCATGTGGTTGATGGGACATAAGCATTTATGATGTATCAACCAAGTATCAAGAGGGCATGAGGAGTAGCATTGTTGCTGGGCAGCCTGGCCTACTCAATGCTATAGCTTTGGTTAAAGTGCTACCCTGTGCAAAATTCCCTGAAGTCTTTCCTGACTGCCCTTTCCAACTCCTCTTTCTTGTGCACCAGGGCACCAGTAGGCCCCCTTCCAACTCTAGCAATCTAGGTATCATGGTACAGGGCAGTGACCCAGAGGTTGGGGCTTCGTTTTAGACAAATCAGGCTCCACGGTGTGACCCTAGACAACTTCCTTTGCCTCTCTGCGCCACTGTTTGCATCTGTAAAATGGGTGGGAGCCAACAATAACTGCCTTTCAGACGTTATGTGGTAATACAGGGGCTTAACTCACTTAAGAGTTTTGACAGTGAGCCACTATTCATCTTAGGATCATTTGGCAAATTCATTTCACTCATCAATCCTTGACCCGGCTCTTTGACTTACTTCTCATTTAAATCTCGAATACCCACGTAGGTGGTAAAGTTAGTCCGCATTTTGACGCCTTTTTTCTCTGTCCCTCCTTCCCAGGGCCCACCCTCCGCGGAAGCAGAGCCTCTGTCTGTCGGATGGATGGTCGGCAACGGCGGTCTCTTTGGCAGTTCAGTCCTGTCTCAGCTTGGGAAGTCACCGAACGGCCAGCTCTTGTCCTCTGCCTCGCTGCCCCGCGGGGAAAGCCGCCGCCCGCCCATCTCTCGGGGGCGCGGTGGAGGAGCCACACTGCAGCAGAGGTAACAGACGCCGACGGCGGCCAGTGAGGGCGGGTGGGCTCACTAGAAGGTAACGGGATGACTGGGATCAAGAACGCGCCACGCTATCTCCTCCCGGTGTCCCCAGTTATCCTCCCAGATCCCAACAGAAGTGACAGCCACGTGGACCGCCGGGGAGTGGAATATAGGCGTGGGGGGCGGGGCTGGAAGGGCGCCCAGGACGTGAATGAGGACCCGCGTACTCGCGCTCGGGCCTCGGCTGCCAGGCGTCGCCGCCGGGAGCGAGTACGCTCGTGACGTCACTCGCCGTTCGCCCAATGAGCGAAGGCCAGAGTGAGTGAGAGACGCGCTGTTCCGCCCCCTCGGCCGCCGCCGCCGCCGCCGCTGCCGCCACAGCAGCTACCTTCGCGATTGTCGGTGCAGCCTCGGGCCGCCGCAGGCTCCTGTGCCGCATCGAGCCGGCCGGAGCAGCCAGACCAGGCCCGGGGTGCCGCTCGCCGTGATCCCGTCGCCCGATGTCCTCAAGATGGAGGCAGCGGAGGCGACGGCGTGAAGAAAGCGGCGCCGTAGGCTAGGGTGCAGGGGTCGGGGCGGCCCGGGCGGAGGCGGTGGCGGGATGGGGCTGCTGCTCATGATCCTGGCGTCGGCGGTGCTGGGTTCCTTCCTCACGCTCCTCGCCCAGTTCTTGCTGCTCTACCGCAAACAGCCGGAGCCCCCGCTAGAAGAGGCAGCCAGCTCGGGCGACGACTTCCGCTACATCGAGCCGGTGCCGGGCCTGGCGCTGAGGGAGTACCTTTATGGCGGAGGCGGGGGTGAGGAGCCCTCCGGCGGGTCCCCCGAGGGCGGCGCGACTCCGACCCCGGCCCCCGAGACCCCCGCCCCGCCGACGCGGGAGACCTGCTACTTCCTCAACGCCACCATCCTGTTCCTGTTCCGGGAGCTGCGGGACACCGCGCTGGCCCGCCGCTGGGTCACCAAGAAGATCAAGGTGGAATTCGAGGAGCTGCTGCAGACCAAGACGGCCGGGCGCCTGCTGGAGGGGCTGAGCCTGCGGGACGTGTTCCTGGGCGAGGCTGTGCCCTTTATCAAGACCGTCCGGCTCGTTCGACCGGTGGTGCCCTCGGCCAACGGGGAGCCCGACGGCCCCGAGGGGGAGGCGCTGCCCGCCACCTCCCCGGAGGAGCTGGCCTTCGAGGCGGAGATGGAATACAACGGGGGCTTCCACTTGGCCATAGACGTGGACTTGGTCTTCGGCAAGTCCGCCTACCTGTTCGTCAAGCTGTCCCGGGTGGTGGGGAGGCTGCGTTTGGTCTTCACTCGTGTGCCCTTCACCCACTGGTTCTTCTCCTTCGTGGAGGACCCGCTGATTGACTTCGAAGTGCGCTCCCAGTTTGAAGGACGACCCATGCCCCAGCTCACCTCCATCATTGTCAACCAGCTCAAGAAAGTCATCAAGCGCAAGCACACCCTTCCGAGTTACAAGATCAGGTGAGAGGGAGGTGGGGGAAGGGTATCCCACAGGCGCAGGGGCCTAGGTGCTGGGAATCCGGGCCTGGGCGGGATGCTGCAGCCTGCGTGGAGTGGGGAAGGGCAAAGGCTTATCCCCAGCCCCCGCTTGTCCAGGGCTCTCCCAACCCTGGACAGGGCTCTAGATACAGGCAAGTAGTGCACACCTTCTTTGCTTCCAAAGGGCATTAACATGAGCTACAAACCTTTTCGTGTGTTGGGGGCTCTCACGGTGCTGTCAGCCTGGGTAGAAACCGCATTGAAAATGGAAGGGAAGTCCACACTAATCCCCAGCAGACGGCTCTGGGACTATTGGGAAACTATTCCTACATATGGTTGCTGCATTGAGGACAGCTTTGCCGCATCACCTTGGCCACGGTGAGAAATTGTTCCTGAACTCAAAGTACAGGCATGAAAAGTGGTAATAGCCCAAAGCTGTTCTGTTTCGCAGCTGCCGGCCACTTTTGCTGTGTTGCCTTGGCAACTTTCAGGGCACAGTTTATATCTGTTGCAGAGGAATACTTCTCCACAGCAAAGTATTAAGTATAAAGGGAAGGAGTTGGGAGCCTATACATACTGTAGTTCTCTATACATTTTGTGTTAATGTCATCTGCCCTTTGGGGGCAGGTTCTGTAGCACAGCCCCAGACCATGTGCCTCATGTGTCAACCCTCTGTGGCTGTAAGGTCATCGCACAGTACCTGAAATCGCCCTGCAAATAGTATTTTAATGATATGTACTGTTTTGATTAATACAGGATTTTTTTTTAATATCACAGAAGAAGTGGAAAGGGAAAGGAAAGGCTAGAGGCATCAGCCACTTTGATCTGGGAAGACTTGTTGCAGTGGAAAGGGTCATACATGGCTATTTCTTCTAAAACAGCTGAATTTTTAACTTCACTTCCCTGCCTGCTTTTAATTTTGTGTTCCTTAAAATGTTTGACCCTTTTGAATTTTGTCCTTTATTATAAAATTATGTCACTCTGGTATTTGCCTTACCTAGTGCCCTTTAGTGGAAGTTGTTTATTTCTAGATCACTCTTTTCTACCACAGTCTCAGGCATCAGTGACCCAGATAATCCAGAAATACTTTACATTTGGATTTGGGATGGATTATTGACTTGGGTATGTGGCAGATTTACCTTCCTAATTATGTTTCATTTAAGCTAACAGCACAGAGTGACAGCTTAAAACTGCTGAGTGGCAGGAGAATTTTACTTTATAATGGAAATATTTCCATAGATTTGCAGAGGATGATGACCTGGTTGTTCACTGTGTTTGGTTTCCTGTTCTGTGAAGTAGAACATACTTTATGAAACCTACTATTTAAGCTCTGGACTATAAGTGACTAAATTATAAGTGAGATCCAGTGTTTTAGCAGTGAGATATTTATTTATAGTGTGTTAGAAAGTCATGAAAAAAAGTTGTTACAGATTTTGATATTCTGTCGTAACTTCAATTCTGATGTTTTTGGGGTAACTTTCAGATTTAAAAAAGGTGGCCAAGTTAATTTGGAGGCGTTGTTTGCAAAATAGCTAGTGGCACTTTGAGAGTTTTTTTTTTAAATGTAGACTTGGAATTCAGGTAAATCTGAACGAAAGCATGCGTAGGAGTTATGGAGGAATTAATAGGTTTATTTCTTTGAAGGAACTTTATCATCTGTATCACTGACCATCACCACCATTTAAAATACAGCAAAATTGCTTTCATTTACTATATACCAAGGAATTTTTTAAATAACATAGCATGGGTTTATGTATGCTATTTCAGCCTTTTAACCTTAAACATAAATGATGACCTCTATAAATGTACACATTTGTGCTCTTTATATTAGAGGGCATTTCAGTGATCGGTCAGTAAATATTTCACACAATGTAGCACTCAATCTTCAAATATCTGTTGTACACCTACTATGTGCTTATCATCCTTCTGTGCTTTGGAGCTTCAATACTAACAGTCCTAACCCTCTTGGACCTTAGAGTGCAGTGAGAATTGAGTTACCTGTACTTAGTAAAATTTAAACTAGGATGTCGTCAGTGGGATTGACGTAAATAGGAAACTGATTTTAGTTTAGTGGTGGAAATGCGAGGATGAAAAGGGCTGCTTTGCAAAGTGTTGAGTTCTCTTGTCAGTGTAGCTACACTGACAAGAGAGTTTTAAACTACTGAAGTTTTAAACTACTGAGTTTAAACCACAAGAGTTTTAAACTACTGAAGTTGTAGGGTAGATTCAGGTTTCAGCTAAGAGAGTGAATTTAAGATGTATCAACAATTCTCATAAAGAGAAAGTAGTTTACCCTTTTTTATAGAAGAGGGAGTAGTGCTCAGAGGAGTTAAATAACTTGCTTAATGTCACACAGCTCTCAAGTGGTTAAATACTGCTCTGATAAAGCCAGGCTAGCCTTTTTCTTAAACTATACCTCGTTCTTAAGGGATTTTTTTTTTAAGTATGCCATCGATATAAATATATATGTGTGTGGAGTTATCTTTCCAAATTAACTGAGAGTCCAAATTAACTGAGAGTCAGAACTCTGAGAAGAATGTGACTAGACAGATTTTTTTTTTCTTAAATTGGGAATTGTGAGAGAGGATCCTTTAAAGTTAAATCATAAGGTTAAATCTTTCGGTGCTGCCTTCCATAGCATTTCATTTTTAATCCAGCAGATTGTGTTCCCTAGTAGGTCTTGTTAATTTGTCCCTTTTAGCCATCTATGCTACTTAGTAGGACAAAAGCAGTAAAGAAAATTGTACTGAGTCTTGGGATCCTTTGGCACTTTTGATTATTATATAACAAATATTTTGCCAATTTACATTGTCACTTCCTTCTCCCTTCATTTGTTTTTCCATTTTCTTGTTGCTAAAATGAAGGTGAGCAGTCAGGACTGCCTGATGTCTCATCTAGAGATTTGCAGGAGTTCAGCTGTTTGCTTTCTAAGGATCCAGCTGACTGACATTTCATTTTCTCCAATGAACACAGTTTGTAAAAAACATTACAATATATTTTTTAAATGAAGTATAATATGTATGCATTTTCTACATATTATTATTCTAATTTTACTAATGTAATTCTAAATTTGGCCACCTCAGGGTTGTTTTGATTTTTTTCTTAAAATGTATACTTTAAAATAGTAAACTAAGAGTATTTTTAAAAATTTAGCCCCAAAATTAGTCTCCAAGAGTAGCACTAATGTTATTGACTACATGGAGAATCCATCTTCAGCATGAAATGTATTTAATAGTCCTGGTGGGTTAGGTTTGAGACTCTTACTAACCCTGCTGTCTCTGGAGTGTATACTGATGTGTAGCTAGCACTGGTTACAAACTCAAAGGCCAAATTCAGTTTGCAGGTACTTTTTATTTGGCCTGCACTGTGGGTTGTTCTTTTGTTTGTTTGTCTTTTAGCTGCCAACATTTAAAACAGAAGATTTTGCATGATTTGGGTTTCTGACTTCTTTTAGGAAAAATTGGAAGATCTTGTATTACCAGGCCTGCATTTCTTCATAGCAGTGATAGGATGAAGAGATGGAGTCTAGTAGCAGCTGCAGGAAGCTCTTAGGCATAGTTTATAGTCTGCATCTACTTGCTACACTTCCTAATGGTATTTGCCTGTCTGGCAGCATATGAATTTCAGAGACCTTTACTATGTGGGGAACATTACTGTAATCATTGAAAATAGGAAGAGTTAATAGCTGGATAGTAGAGGGTGATAATTTTTAAACCTCTTTAAACATTGTATTCCTTGAAGGGACTTTCATTAAGCAACTTTATTTTATGAAAGACATTGTCAAGATAACATTGAATTTTACAAAAACATTCTTTACCAGAAAAATTTTAAAAATCCCTTGGAATGTTTTCCATTTCTCTGCAGTATAGTGATAGTAAGTAAATAGTGGCTGCGTTCCACTTCAGTTTGGTGGATTTTTGCTTTAGTGTGAGGTGGGTCATTAATTAACTGAACATTTACTTCTCTCATCTGCAAATAAGGGATCATCTGCTTATTGACACTATTTGAATTTATGAGTGAGTATGGGAATATTTGGGGGAAAGTTCACTTTTCAGTTTCATGGAATGTCTTCTGAACATGACTATTTTTGTCATAACTGTTTTATTCTTTTACTCCTGAAAAACATTCTTATATATATTCATGGAGATTTTCAAATATTATTAGTGCCTGGAGATCAAGGAGGATCACACTATTCCTACTAAAGTCAAGGACAGGGATGTATCTAGTTAGGTAGAGCCTTTTAGCATCTTCATGTTTATCTCTATCTTTTCTAGATATACCATTAATTTCAGAAAACTAACTTAGGCTTTGTCTGGAAAATCTCATACTCTATACTGTGGTTTGTGAGTGAGTTATTTCTTCCTTGGTCTTCTGAGATGAGAGATGGAGTTTAACATTTACTCGTAATGTTAATTATATTATAGCTTTTTAATTTTACTGATTATTTGAGGTAAAGATGGTTTTGAGTAATCCATGTCTTAAAAACTTTAAAAGTAAATTTGCTGAAAGGTGACAAAATCAGTTGTAAAGTTAAATGTAATACACTGTATTCACTTATTTTTTTTATACTTCTCTTTCTATACGTGGACATCTTTTAAAAGATGTCTTTACTTAGCTGGGAAATACTTTAAAAGAGCTACTAGAATTCCTTAGTGACTGTAGGAATCAGTTTGACTTACTAATGTTAGTAAGAAATGTAACCTTTGATACTTCAGGAGAGTAGAGACAGGGACATTAGTGTATGTCTCTAGCTGTTTTGGAGTAACAATGTAATAAAGTAGCTAAGATAAATAAGTTATTTTTTAAATAGTCATTTATTTTCAATAACTGTTTTCTGAAGACTGTCATCCCTAGTCTTGTGGAAGCATGGTGAAGGTGATAAAAATGCTTATAACATAGTTCAAGCTGCTTCATCTTTCTGGGGAAGAACAGTTAAAACTCATTATATGGCATTTGGATATATTTAAAACCAGTTTTGTGAG